CAGGAGCAGCCTGCTGGCTCGCTCAGCAGACTTGCCCCTGTGCTAGTGACTAGAACTCAGCACTTTGCGCCTCAACATCACATTTACTAACTCATAAAGCCCAGGACAAGTCACATGACCCTATTTGCTGAAATTATTTCAACAGTCACAAATATGTACCGAACATCTGCTCTGAATAAGGCACCAAGTATACAAAGGCATTGTATCTGCCTCAAAGAGTTGACCATCAATGAGGAAAACAGACCCCTTACACTCCCCACCCCTGCTCTCTGTGGGTACCCAGCAAGATGGAGCCCTGTAATATTACATCCACTCCACCCAAAGGGGCTGAGGTCGGAGCGGATCATTTAAGAGCTGTGACTATCAGAGCAATTTCTGTATTTTACATCCTGTTGAGAAAAAGTACCCTGTGGAAAATTCCCAAGCCTACTCTAACCTGATGAAATTGTTTGCACAGACTTAAGCTTTGAGATCAAACTAAAAAAGCTCTTTCCTTCTTCCTAAGTCGGGATTAAAAAATTAATTTTGAAGCAATCTTCTGCTCATCTTGCTGCAGCAAAGCTTCAAGAGCTTCCGTGAGTCAACCATTGGATTGTGTGAGGGCATCCTTGGCTCTGGGAGTGAAATAAGATGTCGGAACATAAGAGAAGAAATTTGAATGGTGTGCTGGGCCAAAAGGTTTATACACACACATACACACACACACATACACACACACACGTATATTTAAAGAATAAATAAATATATTTGAAAAATAGGAAACTATGGGGGAGCAGTAAGGAGGAGGATGGTGTTAGCAGTTTGGTTGGCAAAACAGGTTGAGTTGAGTAATGGGAGAAAGAAATCATGCAGGAAATACTGGTTCTGCTGCTTGGGTCTGAGCTGTGATCTCAGGCACAGATAAAAGGGCCATTCGATCTTAGCCCTCTGAAACTTTAGGCTCAGGTGGTTAAAAGACAAAGGCACCAGTTTAGGAAGATGTGATAGTTGCCAATCATCTGACAGGCAGTGGGTAAGAAGGTCAAGTGGTTTCCGGCAAAACAGCTGCATTGTTACCAAAAATTAGTTTTTCCCTAATAGTCTACCTTGATTTAACAACATGGAGGGTGGTGATCACCCATTTGTTATTCAACAAATACTGTTTTTACTAAGCACCTACTGTGTGCCTGGCTGTCTTTGTAAGAACAGGGGACACAATGGTAAGCAAACAGCATGGTGTCTGCCCTCATGATGGTTAGGGTCTGTGGGCAAAAATAGCCAAGTAGAACAAAGCATGGTGTGTGCACCAGTACAGAAGAGCACCTGCCACTGGTGCACATGGCGATATCAACCAACTTCCCGAGGAGAAGTCTCCCACCATATTCCGCTGGGATTGCACTAACATGCAGATGCCGGAGCCCAGCCCAGGTCCACACCTCTCCTCTCCTGCCCAGCAGGGCTCAGTGCTCCAACCGCACCCTGCATGTCTGTCAGTCTGGGGCTTGGTGGGCAGTGCCACAAGACACATTAGACGGCGCCCTCCCCCTCGGTCTCCATCCTGCTCTTGCTGTTGTGGTGCCTCCATCCTGGTGTTTTTTTCCTTCAGCCTCCTGCCTTCTGTCACTCTCTAGAAGCTGCACTTGTGAATTCACCTGTGATTTCTGGTTATCAAATGCAATAGACCAGGGGTCCTCAAACTACGGCCCGTGGGCCACATGCAAATACAAATATTGTATTTGTTCCCGTTTTGTTTTTTTACTTCAAAATAAGATATGTGCAGTGTGCATAGGAATTTGTTCATAGTTTTTTTTTTAAACTGTAGTCCGGCCCTCCAACGGTCTGAGGGACAGTGAACTGGCCCCCTGTTTAAAAAGTTTGAGGACCCCTGCAATAGACAGTTGTCAGTCCCTGATCATAGCAGTTAGATCATTTGTGTGTGTGTGCTTTTCCATCTCCTTCAATAGACTGTGAACTCTGTGAGACAGGGAATGGGTCTTACTCATCAATATGTGCTTCATGAATAAAAGGAATACTAGTATAACCTAAACTGGTATAAAACAGGACTTTGAATCTGGGCCTCCTTCCCTTCTGATGTATTTTTAAATACCCTTATATAGACTTTAGAGTCATCAGATTTGTGGCAAAATAAAGTAGGTATTTTCTTCTACATCTACAACAGCAGCTTTATGAACCAAATGACCATGCATATGTCTGGTTGTAAATAGGCCCCTCGGTTTAAACTCTGCCAAAATGAAAATTGGAAGGTGGAGGGCAGCAAATTCCACATGAAGAGTTCAGAATGGCTCAGGAGGCCCTGACTGGTTTGGCTCAGTGGATAGAGAGTCAGTCTGTGGACTGAAGGGTCCCAGGTTTGATTCTGGTCAAGGGCATGTACCTTGGTTGCGGGCACATCCCCAGTAGGGGGTGTGCAGGAGGCAGCTAATCGATGTCACTCTCTCTCATCGGTATTTCTAACTCTCCCTCTCCCTTCCTCTCTGTAAAACAATCAATAAAATATATATTTTTAAAAATGGCTCAGGAGGAGGTCAATTGATTCATTACCTTCTGGGGTGTTTTTCAGAACTGACCCTAGCTGGCCCAGTGGGAAGCAGTTCTGTTCAATGATATATCCTGTTTATCAATGGTGGGTTAGTTAAGTGAATGACTGTAAAGTCTTATAATGGAATACTAGAGGGCTATTAAAAAGAATGAAGCAAATCCATCCGGACTGATGTGGAAAGATCTCCAGTATTTATTATTGAGAAGTAAAAGCAAAATGAAAATCAGAATACAGGGGGTGGGTTAGAAGAGGATAATGGGGGGAGGGGGGGGAAGGGAGACGTATGTAATGCTTTCCACAATAAAGATTAAAAAAAAAAAAAAAAGATCAGAATACAGATGATTATTCAAAACACTAGAGGCCTGGTGCACGAAATTCATGCATGGGTACGGTCCTTAGGCCTGGCGGGTCATCAGGGCTGATCAGGTTCCCCGCCTCCCTGCCTCCTCCTTTCCTTGCTCCCTCAGCACCCCACCGCTGCTGGTCGCTCACCATGTTCCGTGCCGCTCCCGATGGTCAGCACACATCATAGCAAGCGATCGAACTCCCATTCTCCCGGTCGAACTCCCAAGGGGACACTTTGCATATTAGCCTTTTATATATATAGATAGGCTTGTGTAGGTCTAAAAATTTTTTCGGGATGAACATACAAAGAACTGCTAACAGTCTAAGTATAAAGAAAGGGATAATTTCGACTTTATGTCTTATTAAACTATTTGAATGTTTTTATCACTTGCAAGTATTATTTATATAATAAAAATTAACTAGCTTCAAAAGTCCTAACTCAGAAAAGCAACACCAGATCTTGAAAGGTCAAGAGAGAGGACCGACGGCTTAAGTTTCCCAGGTAAAAATCCCTCTTGCAGGCAGCACCCTGGCACCCACATCTCACGGTGGCTCTGTTACATTCTTCTTGGACCGACTAGCTCTCATGAATGAACAAAAAAGTTGCGTCTTTATGATAAATTCTCCTGAAAGAAAGCTGCCTTTGAAATAAGGAGAAGGGCAAGCCAGAATAAATCAAAATTAGAACATCAAGTCTGGCAGGTGCCTTGGAGCTGCTATGAATAAGTGACCCATGAAGTCACTCAAGATTATGCTCCAGCCAGAATTTATTTTAATTGCTTTAGTCTTATAGAATAACTAGTGGCCCAGTGCACACATTCATGCACATTAAAAGGAAATTAACTAGGAGAAATATTTAAATATTGCTATTTGCCCTTTCTCTATAATAGAAGTGTCAGAGGTGAAAGAATTAGTAAAATGTACATGAAAATAATATGTAAATTGATTAAGGAATAAACAATAACATGATATAACAATAAAGACATGAAAACAACAAAAAACATGATATAAAAACAACATTGATAAAAACAATGACTGATAAATTTATTAAACTTATTCTAATATCTCCCTGTATACCACATTAAGAGTAAAAACACTTTCAGAGTGCTTGACTAATTTCCCTTGTGATGAAGTATTTACAACTTTAACTTTAACGTTACATGCTCTTTGGACTCAAGAGAAAGCAACATACAACTGACCATGTCCGAAAACTTTTTCCAGCCCAGTGAGGCACCTCAACTTCTCTTTCAGGTAATTGTCAGCAACACAACAGTAAATATCAACATGAAGCAGACTATTATTGTAGATCACGCAGGGAGAACAAAGGGTAAAATATTTAACTATAGTAGTGTTTGACTATAATCTGCACAGTGAGAAAACCTGAAGTCATTTTCAAGTTCCACCATTTCCTCTTTTCAGTTGGGTCAAGTGTCTAAACTTTGTAAATCTCCATTTTCTGGCTAATGAAAAGAAAATAGGATTCCACCAGGTCTCCTAGTTACCTACTCCAGGACTTCTACTATAAAATGTCTGCACCTGGCTATAAAACAAGTTGGGTTCCTGGGCTGAAGAAACTCCAAGGAGGCTAGTCGCTAAGGAAAGGTAACCGGCCATTGCTATGTGATGTCATTACCCGGCACCCACAGCCACCATTTCCAGACTGGGCTGGGCTGTGGGCCGCATTTTGCACCATGGGGTCTCGACAGTGTCAGCTGCAATTTGGTGGGCAGTTGATCGGGGTGGTGGTGGGGCCTGTGTCCCACTTGGGGGAAGTCGAGTGTTGCTTTGTTGGTGCCAGGTCCATGGTGCCATTTCTCTGTAAATGGCCAGTGCACATCACAGCAGCTCCTGCATTGAGCGTCTGCCCCCTGATGGTCAGTGCGCATCATAGCGACCAGTCGGAGGGTCCTTCTGGTCATTCCAGTCGTTCTGGTCATTTGGTCATATTGGTTGCTTAGGTTTTTATATATACACATTATTCCACGGCTGCTCACTAAAAGTCAGCTGTAAGGTTGTATTCTTCTACACATAAGTTTGCAATCAAATTCTGAGTTTGTTTCATTTGCACAGAATGGTATATCTCTTTACATTTTTTCCTATTATTTTGACTAAAGATCTCATTCCTAGTCTCTAATTTCTGAACACTTTAACAATGCCTCTTCTGACAAGTTGAAAGGTCTCTGGCATATATGTTTTCTTGCTCCATAAAACTCAGCTGGCTTCAAACCATCTTTCCAGCTAAATGGTCAGCACATTGGCCAAGAGAGGAAACAGAATAAAAACACCTTGACCCAAAATTAAAGCACCTTGAATAAAAGCACCCTCATATTTAGCTCTTTCTGCTGAACAGACGCCCCTGGGGGCTCTTAGCGCCCCCCTGGGTTTCCGATCACTGTCAGTGGCAGGGGGGCTTCTTCCTGCTTTCCCGTTCGCCTCCCTGCATTGTGCCTACATATGCAAATTAACCGCCATCTTGTTGGCAGTTAACTGCCAATCTTAGTTGGCAGTTAATTTGCATATAGCCCTGATTAGCCAATGAAAAGGGTAGCGTCATACGCCAATTACCATTTTTCTCTCTTATTAGTGTAGATAGACTATAGGTCATAAGGAATTAAGTTGTATCTCACCCATTTTGAGAATAAAATAGCATGCTATAATGGTATTTGCAAATGTGGGAACACAAAAAGTTCTCCAAATGCATTCCTTGTAAACCTCAAGGGTCTATATAATAGTACTAAAGTGTCTTTATTGCTTTTTGAAATGCTACCTCCCCATGTGAGTAAGCTCCTTGAGAGCCTCATCTATCATCTTCATTTCTTTAATTTGCTTGGCACATAACATATATCCAGTAACATATATCCAGTAACTGTGCTTATGAGTTCAGATGTCTTTTCCTTCCTTCAGTTAATTTCACAATATTTATTGAGCATCTACTAAGTGCCAGGCACGGTACTAGCACTTTGTATATGTATGCACATGCATGTGCTTGTGCTCTCCTGTCATCTGAACAAGGAAGGCCCTGCAGCATTCTTTTCTCACACGTACCACAAAATCGAGGTTGGGAAGTGGAGCTCTGTTCCTTCCAGTATATCCTGTAATGGAGGATGCAGCCCATTTGTTCCTGGGCTGGAACTTCGTCCCACGAAATTAAAATGCGCCCCTTTTCCTCTGTGATGGCATTAATGTGGGGGCCACTCCGTGGTGCTGTAAAGTAGAGCACAGGAGGCGTCGTCACCCGTCTAAATCCAAATCATGAAACTAAAGCAAAACGTGGCCAAAGGTTCCCAAGACTCACCTTTGTGGGCAGAGTCACCCCGGATGGAGCGGCATCCTCCCCGGTGCCCTGACAGTGCGTGCACGCGGATTTCATAGCAGATGTGAGGTTTTATGTTCTCTGCAAGGAAAGAGAGCTCTTATCACAGGGGCAGTATCACCTGTGAGTCACTAAAGGAGCCGCTTCCATATCTGTACAGACGCATTCAAGGCATTTCTTGCCATTTTCTTAGTGTGAAGATGGCTCAAGGATAAAGGAACGACCTGTTACAAAATCTCAGCCTCCTATTTGCTATGGAACCGCCTCCTAGAAGCCACGGCTCCCAACTCCAAAGTTTACATCATAGTGAACAACTCAGCAAACCTGAGTTTCTTTTGAGGGTCATCGTGATTAAGGAGACAAAAGCTAGCCCAGTCTCAACCAGGATTTAAATATAACCACACAGACTGCTTTTGAAACAAAACTTTCCTTCTGGAAGAAAAACAACAGACTTCTACAAATAAATCATTTGCCATTTATCAAAAAGTGAGGCTGGGTGTTTCAGGCATAGAACCTGGAAGGCTCTTCAATTCCACAGACGATTATCAGGATCTGACTGGGGAGCTTGGGGTGACACGTTCGGGTGTGGCTAACCAGGACATGCTCAGTGCAATCCGACCCGTTGCTCCTTCCCTACCTGCCCGCACCTTGATCCAATTAGATCTCAGTTGCTTTGCAGCGTGGAAGATTTGGAAGATCCCCGGGAATGTTAATACACCTTCGGAGCTTTTAAACTGCCACCCTTTGCAGTTTTCTATCAGCTACAAAGTTTATTGGCAAGTCGCTCTTTCCTGCCCAAGCTCCTTATTTCCATTATCTCTACTTGTCATAAAGAAAAAGGCCCCTCTCGTATTACTGCCCATGACATATCTTTAAATTCCCCATTAAAATTTAAAGGAAAAAGAGAGAGAATCCCTACTAGGTATTAAAGTATCATGTGGTCAAAACAAGAGCTCTCTCCCATATTGTTTAAAGCCCTGCCATAGATAGATCTGGTCCCCTACCACGGACGATTGATTAGGATTTAACATTTCCTGTTTGGGGAAGAAGAATTCCACTGAATAATTTACTAAACGGTGTGTTTTATAAGAAAACTCGCTGTCCTTTAAATATTCCAGCAAATAAGCAGCATATAAAGCTCAAACACACCACCAGTTCTGTCAGAATGACCATGAAGAGAAAAGACGAAGCCACGGGTGAGTTCCCATTTGTATCCATGAACTAAGTGAGATGGAGGTAGGGATACAATCAGCTCAGTCCTGTAATCCAAAGATTATATGTGGGTGGCATCCAGACCCAGGGGCCCCAAGGGCACCGTGGAGAATGGGATCACATCTCATTTCTGAGTGGCTAGTGCCTGGCTGCTCTGCTACTCATCGAGGAAGGTGCCAACCAACCACGGTGCCATACAGAGGCATGGGAGTTCCAGATGAGCTCAGCCGGCAAATGCTTTTGTTACATTTTGCCATGCAAACTGTGTTTAAGGCAGAAGCCTTGGGAATGGCTCTACAGAAGCTGTGGGCTGCTGCTTGTGAAGAGCCTACCTTTAGTGGAGGAGGGAAGAAAATGTGGCTCCTTAACTCAGGTGACATTTCCTTTTCCGTGAAGCGTGGAGCCCTAGCAAGCTAGTTCCTTGGTTCTGATCTTGAGGACTCCCGTTGAACTGGCTAAATCTTATACAAACACTCCTTAATCATGTCTGCTCTCCACCTCGAAAATTCCTTAGCCCTGCTCCCCATAATGTTAAGATTTTTATTTCTTCATCCTGGCCCCAACTACCAGCTCATTTCCTCATACTGGCAAGCATACCTATATACCTGGTGTCCATGTTTATAAATACTCTTTTAGGTGGATTTTCTGCAGAAAGCTAATTTCCCCTATTAAGTATGCATGTGGCTCGCGAGCCGCAGTTTGCCGACCACTGCCCTAGAGGAAGAATGAGGGAGCATGCAGAAGGGGGGCCCAAAATAGCCTAGGAATCAGGGAAGGTTTTCTAGACATGGTGATGGCCACCTATTCTAAAAGGTGTGGCTCTGTATGGCCTGAACCATCTTTATGCAGACAGGGCGGGACCGATGATCCCTCGCCTAGTCTCACCGACCTACAGTCCTGGAGCTGGACTGTCTTCAGGCCCACTATAAGCAAGGGCCCCAGCCAGAAGCTGAGGATGCGAAGGCCATGAGTCATCTCACTGAGGAGAGAGGGCCCCTCTGATTTCGTGGTGTGAATTACTTAATTTTTTAAGAGTTTATTTTCATAACGTAACAGCAACACAAACTAATAGTTCACCAAGTGTTTTCAAGTAGCAAGAAAACCATTATTAAAGTTATTTTACCAACCAGTATATGGATCTAATTCAAATGAATATTTCTAAAATGCTTAAAAACATTTTAGTTTCCTAAATATGGAAACCATTCTCTCTTTTCATCTACTTTATGGTATTTGTGTAGAATCATAAAAGGAAGGAACTGTAGGGACTACATGATTTAAACTATCCTGCAGGGGTAAATGCTAATTCAGTTACAATAAGCATTTGCAATTTTGCAGCACTTTAGAGCTCACTAAGCACCTGCTCTAGGCACTGTTTCATCTGATTTGATAGGCAAAGCAGCCTCAACGTAAACTGGTGCTACTGCGACAACTCCAGGGACAATCACTTGTCCTATGACAGACCATAATAAGTAAGGAAAGTTCCTTCTCAAAAGAGAGCGGGTATCTGCCTTCTTATAATCTCCATGCAGAGGCCTCCGTTTTGCCCTCCAAAACAGTAAAGAATGCATCCTCCTTTTCATGTATGTCAAAGCCAGCAGCAGCCATCAAACCACCCCACCCTCATCTAGAATTCTCTTCCATGTGCTAAGTAGTTTCCACATTAAAAGTTCCAGAGCCCCAGGGACTTCTCACCTTCTGTAGCTCACTGGGCCCCATTCTGTTTACATGTAGTGATTACAATTGAACACAACTCACTAAAATCTGAGCAGCTAGACTATAAAAAAAGGGCACCCAAGTAAGGACCGGTTCATGTATCATCACTCAGTGTGCTCTGTTTATTTCATCTGTGTAAATTTTTTTGCCTTAACCAGTGCAGGTGTGTCCTCCTGGACAGGTGCAATGATTGTCAGGATGTGATGGAAGTGTTATGGGATTTAGAGCTTGAAAATCTATTAAAATCTTAGCTCTGTAAAATAATAATAATAATAATAATAATGCTAGCTAGCTAAATTATCAAGCACTTAAAAAATGCTAGGAACTGTTCTAAACGTTGTCTTTATATTAATTCAGTTAATCCTCACAATAACCCAATGAGGTAGATAATATTGATATCCCCATATTATAGATAAGCAAACCAAGGCACAGAGAAATTAATTTCCCCTAGATTATCCAACCTAGAAAGGGGCAGGGCCAGGACTCAAATTTAGATAGTCTGGCTGCAGAACTAGTACTTAAACTTACACTTAAAAAGGACATTGCCTAAGTTTTGCCCAACCATCTCAATATGCTTTCAGATGCTTTCTTTCACTTGATTGTAACCACTGACAGATTTGAAAAATTTGAGGATTAGAGACACCAATTATATAGATAATTCTGAATTTGTTATCACAAAAATAGGCAGCAGGCCTGAGCATGAAAGACTTCCTGGAATCTTTGTCTATATAATGGGCTGCACATATTTCTGAGACTTAAATGAACTCCCCGATGTAAGTTGCCCATCACACTGACTGGTTACTACTTAGCTCTCAGCCACACTCATTTGGTTGATTCACTTGTATGGCACCGTGTCAGGCACGTGGGTTTTCCATAGATACTGGAGCTTTTAGGCGACCAGTTGGTTGGCCTTCTATAGCTGCCGTGGTGTATTCTGGGGTGCTGTCCTGAAGGACCCTAGGTGATCGCTGTCCTGCATTCTCATGTAGCCACTTGTAACTGAAGGGCAGGGTTTTGGGTTCTCACCTGCAATTTCCTCAAACAAATTTGAATTTAGAAACCCTCCTGAAGGCAGGTGAGCAATCAAGTACCTGAAATCAAAGCGGACACGTTGTAGGGGGGAGTCCGTAGCCAGTTCAGAGGGGGCCGGGGGCCGTGCCCCGGGTGGAGCTCCCTCCATTCCACCACGTACTCTTGGACAGCAGAGGCGGCTTCCCCGGGGGGCTCCCACATCACCATAATGCTGTCCATGCTCTCTGAGTTTGCAGAGACCTGGCCAGGAGCCAGCAGCCCTTTATGGGGAAAGTGGGGAGGGACAAAAACAAAAATCACTGTGGATAAAGATATAAAACATAACAACTCATCCTAGCAAAGTTTTAGAACTGATTTCTTTTTAAGGTCTTCAGGTTCACAGATTTAAGTTCATGGTACTTCTCAATTTGTGGAGATCTGGCATCAACAGCTTGGACAAGGACCCTGTGTAGAGTTATTTATAGATTTCCCCTTCATATTTCACTTCACTTTTCATTTTTGTGTCCCCAATGGTACCTGCTCTAGTGAATGTAATAGGAATCCTTCTAATCCAGCTTATATAAGTGTCTATTCAGATATATATGGATCCTTAGAAATTAGTGCTGCTTTGTGCTTGTGAGTTGCTATTTCATGAACTGTGTTGGGAGTAAATCTAATGTTTTCTCTAAACCCCCCCACCCCCCACCCCATACAACATTATGTTTCTGGGATATATCCATCCTGTTCCTATATGTAAATTTAGCTCATTCCTTTAGACTGCTGCCTCAACCCCTTCTTTGCCCAGTCTCCAAGTGACAAGCAGGTTCCCCTCCAACTCTTTACTGAGGTAGACAAAAAAAAAAAATAGTGCTGTAATAAATCATAAATTCCTAACTGGGCAGGTCATGGTGGATGGTCACACCCTAGTCCTGTAACTTGAGTGAGAGTTTTTAAAGCCAGCCCTGTCCATTGTTTTTGTGCATCTAGGTTAACAGAAGCGGTGCCAGAAGGAATACCCTTCGAAGGCATAACCACCCGTAAGAAAGCACATAATCTTCTAATCCAACCCCTGCCTTGCTTTCTCCCACCTTCATGCAATCTTCCTTAACATCCTCTCTTTAATTTCAAACGCATAAAAGAAACTGCAAAACTGTTATTCTTCAGAGCATTTGAGATCTTTATACCCCGGCATATGTCATCAGTTTGGCTCAAATAAACTCTTATATAATTCAGGGAAAATTGATGCTATTACAATGTTAAGTCATTCCATTAATAATTCACATATTTCATATATATAGAGAGAGAGAGAGAAAGAGAGAAAGAGAGAGAGAGAGAGAACCCCGATAATGAGCCTCATCGAAATTCAGCCACATTTATGCAAAAACCATCATGGAAAATTTCAACAAAAGAGTGCGTATGTGCCAGCAAAACCATGGAGGCCATTTACCTAATATGCTATTCCATACATAACCCTATACTGTGTACTTTATGAATCAATAAAAAATTTACAATTTTTAATTATAAACCTGTGTTTTCTATCAAAATTACTTCTTGCGTGAATTTTGGGACACCCTTTATAAAGATGGCCAGAATGGTCTCTAAAATAGCCAATCAGTTGACACTCCAAAAAGAAAAGCTTGAGAGATCTCATTTCCCCGCCTGTCGACACTTGGTATTTTCTGACTTCCTAACTTTTGCCAATCTGGTACATGTAAAGTGGTATTTAACTGTGGTTTTGTTTTCATTTTCCGGTTTCTCATGAGACTGAGCTTCTCTTCATATATTACTAATCATCTGACTTTTTCCCCTTATGTGAACTGCCTGTTCATATACTTTGCTAATTTTTTCTGAGTTTCCTGTCTTGTGTCTGATTTGCAGAAACAGCTTTCATATTCTAGATCTTAATCACTTGTCAGTTTTCAACTCTAAAAATATCTTACTCTTGTCTTTCGGCTCACTGATACCTTTATGATGTGTTTGTTGCCCATAAATACTTACTTTGCTGTAGGTAAACCTATGTATGGTTTGTGCATTTTGAGTCTTGTTTATGAAATCCTTCCATCCAGGGGTCATGAAAATACTCAACCACATTTTCTCCTATTGACTTTTGGTTTTAAGTTTAACACTCAAGTTTGTTTGTTTTTTATCCAAATCTAGCTGAAAGTTTTTCTTTTAAGGGAATAAATTTTATTATTATTATTTTTTAAAATTTTATTATTTTTTAAAATTTTATTATTTTTCCCACACAGTAAGTTTTTTCAAATGTGACACCATACCTAACATACACAAAGTTCTATATATGACTAGGTCTGGGTCTAGCCAGCTTCGTCACCAGAACACACTGTTCTTATTACCAGGCTTTGTGATGTCTGACTATTTGGTTGGTAAACTCCCCTCTTCCTTTTGCTGTTCTTTTTCCAAAATACTCTTGGTTATACATAAAACGTTATTCTTCCTTTTAGGCTCACTTTATTAGGGTCCCCCAAAATTCCAGCTGGTAGTTTTTACTGGAATTAAGTTAAATATATAATTTAATTCAGGGAAAACGGATGCTGTTACAATGTTAAATCGTTCCATTAGAAGATTACTCAGCTCTCCTTTGACATCTTTTAATGGAGTTTTAAAAAGTCCTCCTTAAAGTTTTCATGGATTCTTTGTTAGTTTAATTCCTAGACATTGGATACTTTTAGTTTGCTATGTAAATGGCATCTTATTTTCTACTTTTCTACTATTAATCTGTGTGTGTTATTCTTATTTCTGACAAATTTGCTAAACTCTCTAATTAGTTCTAATAATTTATCTATTGCCCATGTTGAATTTTTCATATAATAATCGTACTAGCTGCATACTTAAAATATCTCTTCCTTCCAATCTTTAAATTAAATCTTTTATTTCATTTTTTTGTTTTTATGTTGTTGCTAACTTTAAAGAGAAGGTGCCTACATATCTTTATTAAGATGATATTTACTACTAACTAAATGCTTTTCTATATCTGCGAAGAACATATTTCTTCTTTTCTCTCTCTCAGTATTAATGTGATGAATTACATTGATACATTTTTCTGATACTCCTCCATCTTTAGATTCCTAGGATCAACCTTGCTTGGTCATCCTGCACTATGTTTTGCAGACATTTAACAGTATAGAATATTTTTTAGAGAAGTTTTAAGTTTGTAGCAAAATGAGCAGAAGGTACAGAGATTTTCCAAGTGCCCCTCATACAGAGCGTCGCCTACTACCGACATCCTGCGTACATACCAGTATACAGTAAGATTCTTTTTAAAAAAATATATTTTATTCATTTTTTACAGAGAGGAAGGGAGAGGGATAGAGAGTTAGAAACATCGATGAGAGAGAAACATCGATCAGCTGCCTCCTGCACACCTCCTACTGGGGATGCGCCCGCAACCAAGGTGCATGCCTTTAGCCGGAATCGAACCCGGGACCCTTCAGTCTGCAGGCCGACGCTCTATCCACTGAGCCAAACTGCTTAGGGCTACAGTAAGATTCTTGATAAATACTTTCAATAATTTTTTCCCTTTCATTTACTTTCTCTCTCACTGGGACTCCTTTTAGGCAGTCATCCGATTTCCCTTTCAATGCTCTCAGTGTTTTAAGTTTGTTGGTTTTTTTCATCTTCTTTCCCGTTTCCGATGCCTTTTGGAAGAGTTTCTTACCCAATCTTCCACTCACTCGCTCGTCTTCCAATGAGTCCTTTTTGCTCTTCAACCCATTGGCTGAGCTCTTCATTTCAGCAATTAGACTTTCCATTCCGAACCTCTTCATTGCAGGCTTCTTCACAACCACCTGTTTCTATCATTCTCTCTTCTCTTCCTTCCTGAGGACACTTGTTATGCTTATTCTAAACTCTTGTTCTTTCTGTTGCATTCGTTATATTTCCTATGGCACAAGTTGTTCCATTTTGTTGCCTTCTCCCCTCCCCTATGCTCCCCCCACCGGCCCCCAAATGTGTGCCCCTCCAATTTCTCCTAATTTTCTCCTTTGGGATCATGATTTATTTTTCTTGGATTGATCAGCAGCCTTGACCTTCATCTTCCTGTAGGAGGAGGAGTGAAAGCCTAGTTGTAGCTCGTGCTCCTACAGGTAAGTGTAGGTAAGGAGGAGGAGCTTTTCAGGGTGGAGAGCTCGAGGTCAGAGGGCCTGCAGCGATGCCAACTGAGCTCTGCCTGTCCACAGGTCCCCCTCAGGTGTCCCCGGCACCTCCAGACCTTACCTGTGCTTTTATGTCCGGCACTTCCCCTTATGGGGGAGTGGGGCTCTGATTCTCTTAACTGCCAGGCCCACAGGTTGGATGGCACCAGAAATCTCAGGGGCCAGCCAGCAACCAGGCACTCTCTGCTCTCAACTCCTCTGCCCGGCTAGGTTCCAGGGCTGCTTAGAAGACACACTGCCCTGCTCTCAGGACTTCCCTGCCTTATAGTAGAAATGCCCAGGCGATGATCATCTCAGAACAACACAGGCAAGAAAAAGGAGTGCAACAGCAAGCGCTGCCCCAGCCCTTCCCTTCATCACTACTCCCCTTCGCACAGGCCGCTGCCCTCCCCTGGCACCCTCCGGGCTGGGCATGGTAGTTAGAGCCTGTAACCTGCATAATCCTACAAGCTGGAATTCCGCAGCTGTGGTTCCTTTATCTTCATTTGCCTTCGTATCTGACTTCCTATGCCAGGAATTTTTTTTTTAAATGAAATGCATTCATTCGGTAAATATTTATTGAGCACCTATGGTTCACAAGACCCTTTGCCAGTGATGGGCTAACACAGCCAGAGCCTTTCTGACCACTGTTTTCTCTGGAATTAGCTAAAAAAAAATCAACTTGGCATTGCCCTGCCTCTGAGTCACTACGCTTGCCAGGAACCAGCCTGGATGTCCTCCCACTGAGGGCTGCCAGGGCTTGTTCTCTCCTTCAGATCTCGCCTCACACCTCACTTCCTCTCTGTGACCCTTCACACTCCTCCTTTAGCCTCAGTCATTCAACTTCCCATCCCCATTTCCACAGAGAGCTTCTGAAGAGAGTTATGAAGTTCATGAGATATTTGGAAAGAGACAGGTGGCCTGCTTTTTCTGTCCAGCTCTGCCACTAATTGGATGATGTTGGCTTAGTTACTTCCCCTCCTGGGGCCTAAGTCTTTGACATCTGTATGAGCCTCTTTATGACTCTACTGGCTTTTGATTCTTCCCAAAGTTTCAATAATTCTCGAGCACAAGGACTGGTGTGAAATATGTTTTACTTGTTGACTGTGGGTTTGGCACACATTCAATTTTCATGATAAACCAACAAAAATGTTCTAGTGCTTCTTGATATGCAATGCGATGGCAGGTGCCTTTGATAATAAAATTGTCCCTACTTTTCTCAAAATCAACATAATGCTACCTATTGTGAGTAGTGTGAACACATTCTGAACGAGAGGGACACACAAAATTATGGTACAATATTTCTACAGATTATTCAGAATATGTGTGAGACAAGAGCCACCAAGGATGGGATTATGTAATTTGCCAATCTGTCCTCTGGCCACTCTGAGATGCACAACTTTGCATTGAAGGGTCAGGTGTGGTCTTAGGAGTGGTAAAGACTCTTGAGAATCCAAGGTTTCCACCTTCTGAGACCTTCTTAGAGACAGCTCAGTTGTAGAAAACTTTTTCAGTGTCATTCCTTACCTTCTCTACATGTTCATCCTTACTGAGCCTCATCCTTATTTAACACCTGTCTATTCTGAGAGGAAGAAATGTTCCTTTAACTGCTTTTGTTACTGGGTTCCGTCAACTTCCAGCTCCCCAGGGTCTTCCTTCCATCAATTATCCCCTTTATTTTCAACTCTTCCCTACCCTGATTCTGTTTTTTGTTTGTTTTTGTTTTTTACTTATATGCTCATTCGGATCCCTCTTTAAAACAAACCCTCATGCCTGCACACCTGCATCCCTTCACCTGGCTAGTACCAAGTGGTCTCTCCATACCCTGTTCCCATGTTGCCTCCTCTCCAAGCCCCATACTTTGGCTTTTCTCTGTTCCTAGAGCTACCTGTGCATACCACTAGCCTCACACTTATTATACTGTACTACAGTTTACTCGTTTATATGTCTGCCCTTCCACCTGAGTAAATATAACTGGAGGATCTTATTTTTTAACCTATTGCTGGAGTCCAGTTGACTTAGAAAGTGTACGCTCAATAAAGGACTACTGAATGAATAAATTAGAGGCCAACTCTAAAATAAAGAATGTGTCATTTTGAGAAGTTGTTATCAAATCTAAATAAAGAGTCTGGAATGGGCCGAGAAAATTCATGAGGTTTATATCCCCAAGACTCCTCTGCAGTGAGGTCTGAAGGAGTAAGGTTTGACGTACTGCATTTTAACAACAGCAGGATATATACAATGGTATGAGCTCTTCTCCCACAGAATTCACTTTAAAAAGTTACATATGTAGTCCTTATCAAAGGAAAAAATTAAAAAGTATAACAAGCAAAAGGGAAGAAAAATCACCTGCAATCCCATGATGCAATGATGATTTCTATGAACATTTCCATATATATCTCACTAAATGTTTTTAACATACGAAAAATGTATATTCATGTAAATACATATTTTAAATGACATTATCCCATATACACTATTGGAAGCCTACCATTGTACTTATTATGTGCATCTTTCCATAGCAATAGAAACATAGCTACAACATCACTTTAATGCTAGCATGAAATCAGTGCCAGTGACAGTCAGGATATATTAACCCAGTTCATTTTCTATTATTTTATATTTAGGTTATTTGTACTGTTTCACTATTTTTTTTTCACCAAACATATTTTTGCCTATTTATTTTAAGCACTTACTATTTGCTGAGGATACATTTATAATGCTAAAATTTCTTGGTCAAAAGATATGTTTATCTTTAAAGTTTATTACATTTGGCTAAATTGTTCTTTAGAAAGGTATGCCAGTGTACACACCCACTAGCAGGGTACAAGAATACTTTAATCATTCACCAGTGTGGATTATACTATTTTTTTTTACTCTTTCTCAATCTGATTTGGTTTCTCATGGTTTTTTAAAATTTCATCTCATTGATTAGTAATTAGACTGAACAGATTTTCATATCATTATTATTCTTTTTATATTTATTATTTGAGTTGCTTGTTTATATCCCTGCTTCTTATTTTAAAAGGTTGGACAGGCCCAGCTGGCATGGCTCAGTGGTTGAGCTTCGACCTATGAACCAGGAGATCACAGTTGGATTCCTGGTTAGGGCCTATGCCCGGGTTTCAGCTCGATCCCCAGTTTTGAGCATGCAGAAGGCAGCCAATCAATGATTCCCTCTCATCAATGATGTTTTTGTCTCTCTCTGCATCTCCCTTCCTTTCTGAAATCAATAAAAATATATTTTTTAAAAAGTTAGACAGATAATCCTCTTTTTGAAAAAAAAATGTGATATATACTTTTCTTAAATTTCTATTTATACATCTGAAACTAGTACAAAATAATATTGAAAGTAAATTGTAATTGAAATAAATAAATAATGTCTTTAAAATAGAAAAGAAAATCTGGCCAACTGTTAACATTTGTTAGATCTGAAAATGGGAACATGGTTTTATTATGTTACTCTGAAAAAAATTGCTACTCATATTTTTAAAGTTTTATTTTTGGTGTTTTCAACTTTTTAAATTTTACTATGCAGAAAGTGTAAGCTTTTTTCCCCATAGTTATTCCATCTCTTCCATCAGGTTTCTGCCTTAGGTACCTAATACACATGAGGGAGATTACCAGCGGCCTATCAAATACCCACCAGCCTTCATCTTCTTTAGCGAGACAATACTGCTGCCTGAAATACACTTCTGAGCCTCCTCTGAGCTGGGTATGGCCTGGTGACCAATGAGAGTCAATGGCTGCAAGTATGTTGTGTGTGACTTGGGGCAAAGCTCCTCAAGGGAGAGGGGGTGTGCCTTCCTCTCTTCCATCTCTCCTGCTGCCTGGATGGAAATGGCTAGGAGTTCATCCATCTTGAGGATGAAACCAACTTGGCAGAAGGAACAGAAGGAGGAGGCTGGAGTCCTGATGATGTCACAAAGCTGCCACACCAGCCCTGGAGAAGGCTGGCTACTTCTGACTTCTTTAATGTGTGAAATAAATAAATCACTGTGCTCAGGCCTCTGCTAAGAGCAACCCTTACTCCTAAGAGCAATTCCTAACTCATATACCAATCCAAGGTTATCAATATTTACCTGTATTTTCTTCTACTTATTTTTATTACTCTATTGTCTCCATGTTTATAGATATGTGACTGAAAAGTTATATAACCCAGATTTAATAGTATACATAAAATAATCATGTTTTGGTAGAATCTTCTTCAAAATGATGATTGCTAGACTCACATGTAGATAAAATTGTTACATTGAATTTTAAGCAAGGATCTTATTAGAGTTTTATTCTATCAGGCATTTTTGGAAAAAGGCCCTGAGAAATAGCATTAGCATCCTTTTTCTCCCCCCTCTATTTCTTTCGTTTTTTACCTTTTTTTTACACTAATTATAGGTTTTTATCCAAAGAAGTTAGTTTTCAGAGAATGCAACTATAAAATGTATATAGCTAATTGGGAGGTTTTCAATGTAGATAACTGGGATCACACCTAAATTTGTGGTATAAAGAACTATAACATAATTTTTTAAACTATAGTTTCATTACAGCCAGAATTTCATTTTAATATGAGGTTTTAAAATATGTTTTGACTATAGGTGTAAAATGTTTTCTTCTAGAATTTGACAGCCCATATTATTCTTGTTTCTGGAAAAATTAGCCAGATATTAGTGTTCAACTTAATATTTCCTTAACTAACACTTATTAAGCACCTGCTATGAATTAGTCTCTGTGTTTAATCTTACAATGACCTGCAAAGTGGATGATGTAATCCCCACTTTAAAGACGGGGAAATTGAAGCCCAGAAGTGTTAATTCACTTGTCCAAGGCCACTCTTAGTCTGAGTAAAAAAGACAACCTTTGAAAGCTGTTGATTCAAAAGTCTAAATTCCAGGGTTACCCACACCAGGCCCTGAACTGAGCCTGCGGAAGATAAGAGGTGAGTAAGACATGGTTTCCCACAGGCAATATTAAAGAAAAGTTGGTACTTACCTGACCCACACAGGTCTGTTATGTTAATACGAGTGGGCAGGGAACTGCCTTTTGAGTTAGCTGCAGACACAGCCACAGCCCAGTTCTCAGTTCTGGGAATGACCCAGGTCCAGGAGGTATGTTCTGTGATGTTCTGTAGTGTGGCTTTCTCCCCAGCCACCTCCAGCAAAGTCACCTGATAGTGGAGGATTTTTCCTCTTGCCTCTGATACACTCAGATTCTGCAACAAAACACATCCACTTACCATGTAGGCTCAGACAAGGTCATTGGATGCTCTATGCCTGGACCTCATGGTCCCCTGCAGCAGGTGCCTACATCTGAGTGACCTTTTTATTTATATCTTTTCAGCTCCTCAACTGCACACTTTATGCTGCTGCCCACCCCCACCATTTAGAAAAAAGTAGCACTTAACATTTTTTAAAGCAAATTCTTAGCAGAACATTGGTTTTTCTTGCTTGCTTCAAAATGAAACTTCCTACCAGTAGAAAACTCAATTGCATTCAATGGAACAAGAGCAGGATCTAAACTGGGAAGATCTGGATTTGAGTTCTAGCTCTACCGATCACCAGCTATGTGACTCAGGGCAAGACACTCAGCCCCTCTGAATCTCCATTTCTAACTTTGTCACACACACACACACACACACACACCTTTTTAAATAGAAAGCACAATGCTGCTCATGAAATAAAAAACAAGATTTTCAAGAGCTAAACTAGTAAAATCCATTGTATGAATTGGATGAGCCGTCTGTGCTAGGAGACGAAGACACTCTTTTTAAATGTGTACCCAACGAGTTTTTGGAACTGCAAAAATTCCAACTGAGATCACTTGGGAGCAATCCCAGAAAGTAAGCAGAAAGCTAATTATTTGTATTGTAGCCCTGTTTGGACAAGGACCATGAGAAACAGAAGAAATGAGAGCGGAAAGCTGCCAAGGTTAGCACTGGCAGTGCCCGTCCATGCCTACTGCATGGAGAGAAGGCTTAGCTCACCAGACGTAAGCATTACAGTTTTCTTGGCAAGGCTGTTCCTCCCATGGGGTGCAGGGTGGCCTCAAGCTGCTGAAAGACACACCTTAAAATTGTCAAATACCCTTTCTCTGATTCCCTACTCCCTAAGCAATCTTCTAATAATTTGTAGTTTATCTGTCAGGAGAGACTTGGCTAGCATGAACATCTGGTTTGGTTAAAATCTGTGTTTTTCACTTTAAGTGAATAAATTGCCCTTCTGATTATAATTCGGTTTCCAAAATAATTACCATACTGAGAAAGAATATTTCTATCTGCTGACTCAAGCCTTCTGGTTTGCCTAACAGCTGAATTTTTCACTATAAATTAATCATGAACATGCAGCTTTTTATTATATTTTAGTCTCTGAGAGCGTGGTTAATGCAGGTCCTGTCCTAGGTGCCTCTCTGGATCCACAAGGCCTGAGACTGGATCTTAAACCATGGTCCGTGCACCAGGTAAATACCATGTTGCTGAGGGCTCTTTGGGGTGCACGTCCAGCCTCTCCCTAGAAGACAGCTTTGTGTTAGGGCAAGAACCAAGAAAATGTCCATCATTCCAAATGTCCACCACAGCTGTTCCCATAGGCCTGTTCTGTAAATTAAAACAAGTGAGTGCTTTAGAAATTATGGTGTTCTAAATGTATTCATAAACATACCCTTTGTCATAAGAGAAAGAAAGAACAGGGTAAATTAAGGCAAAAGCTGGCCAGGGAAGACCATTCCCTCAGGCATCTCTCATTCTGTCCTTCACTACCTGTTTCCTCTGAGGCTCAGAGGTATGATTATTACCCCACCCTACAGCATCCCCATAGCTAGCCAAGTTCACCAAGCTCTCCATTCTTGCCAGGGACACAGAGGCTTCAGTCCCACTCTGACAACTAAGCAAACAGAGCCTTAATTGGAAAAAACACCTTGCAAACCAGCCTTTGTCATCTCCCTCATTGTCCTGCACAGACAACTCAACACTCTCCCTCAGAGTGCTATGGTAGAATGCTGAAAGAAGGGGGGAAATGTCAAGTCGTCTTGGATCTACTGAACTTGCCCAGTGATCGCTGGGAAAATCTAGCTGATCACAGTGATCCAGTGACCAGAGGTGCGAGTCTGGAAAACGAGTGACAGTCCCCAGAGGGCAGTAAAGGGCTGGACCATACTTAGCATTTTTCTTCCATACCCCATATCTTAGAGTGGAAAAGATCAGTGAGAAGGTGAGGGCGGGGTTGAGGTAGTTAGACAAATAAATATGTATTTCGTGAATTGTGCTTTTATCAAATGTGAAGCTCAAGTTTGGGGATACAGGTTAATCTCTCTCAGGTAACTGGCTTCCTTAACCAAATTAAAAACCGAGCCTGACTTGTCTGACAGGATCTTGGAAACAAAAAATTCAGTGAGCCAATGGGAAAACAAGTATTTATCCAGCTGGGCTAGTAGCAACTTAAAACAGGATAATTAGTTGAGGTTTTTTTAATAGCAACGTAAAATTTGCAAAAAATGTATGTCATCCATCACCCTTAAATCACACGTGGCCTCAATGCAATGGAATATCATCACAGAACAACAGAACAGGGAGGGATTCCACAGATTAACAATTAATTAACAATCATTTCCTTTTGTCAATGGGGAAACTAAGCCCCAGGGCGAGGAAGTGACTTACTCAAGGCCACTCAAGAGATCAGTGGAGGAGGAGAGTGTGGAATCCAGAGCTCCTGGCTTCTAGACAAGTGATCTGTCTACTCTGACGTCTGCTCCACACGGGTGAGTCTGAGTGATGAACTGTAAGTATGGGCCACCATGTGTCAGAGCTGGAATCCCCAGCCACCCTTCTGCCCCAAAGTTGCAAAGCAGCATCTCTACCTGTGAGGTTGTGGTATATTCTGATGTGGAGCATCAGCAGTGGAATGAGGTCAGCAATTTGGGTGAGGTGGAGATCCAGAATTCTTTTCCCCCCAGAGACAATGGCCCTGAGTCACAAGGGGACCAGCTGTGAACCCAGAAGAACTACTACCTGAGGAGCCAGTTGGGTCTTTCCAGATGAACTTCTTTTTATTTCAGCATTTGTTTGTTTGGGTGAGTGATGAGAGAGACACTATCATTTATTGGGCCATACCATGAGTCAAGAGCTTACATCTGTTGTTACTTTTAGTTCTTATGAGGGTGCTGAAGCTCCGAATGGTTAAGAAACTGACTCCCCACAGAAAAGTAGTCCCCACAGAAACGTGAGAGTTTAGTGCGCCCCCTGGTGGATGTGGGAGAGGAAGGGATGTGTGGACCATTCCTGGACTCCCTGAGAGTGTCTGGAAGACCTGGTACTTCTCGCGCCCTTTTGGGCAGCACCGAAGCTGGTCTCACGTCAGTGTTCCCATTGCCACTCTCCTACTGGTAAGAGTAAGCTAAAAAAGGAAACGCTGTCCTAGTGCCCCTCTCCTGCAGCTTCTTCCTGCTCTGTCCAGTGGGAAATGCTTTAACTTAGTAAACTTAGCCTTTTTGACTGTGAGAAGCAGAGTGAACAGCCCCCTCATGAACCTATTCTGAGAGTTCTGCTGCCTGAAAAGGCTTTCAGCATCAAAAACGGCTCGATGAACACAACCCATGAGAGGACAAAACCTAACACGTGTCCAAATTCAGGGCCCTTATTTTTTGTTTTGTTTTAAAGTACATTAGAGGAAGGGTGTTTCTCTGAATTGATAAATTATTTCTCCTTAGAACTTAAAAATAAAAATTTCTGGGAACTTTTTTGTTTGCTTTGGGCAGACCCTTTGTTTTCTTGCCCCACCACATAGCAGCTATGTGACCTTGGACAAGTTATTTTACTTCCCTGAGGCTCAATTTTCTCATCTGTAAAATGAGGATAATTCTGTGGACAGCATAGGAGTTCTGGAGGATTTGATGGGCTAACGGAAGTAAATTGTTTCAAAAAGTGCGTGGCACATGGCAGGTGTAAAGATACTGGGTGAAGTTCCCTTCTCTCACCTACTCTAATATAAAAATCATCATAATTGGCACTTTCCCCACCATAGTCATATGACTCTTCTGTCAATTTATGGAGAGACAAGCCATCTTGACTTGGCTTATACCACAGCTCTATAAGGAAGTCTCACCAATGTCACACAGTTGATTACAAAGAACATATAAGAGAGGAAGGGAGAAGGAGAGAGAGAAACATCAATGATGAGAGAGAATCAATGATTGGCTGCTTCCTGCATGCCTCCTACTGAGGATTGAGCCCTCAACCCAGGCATGTGCCCTTCACCAGAACTGAACCTGGAACCCTTCAGTCTGCAGACTGGTGCTCTATCCACTGGGAAAAACTGGCCAGGGCTATCTACTTTACTCTCAGGGGAAAATAAGGCACAGAGAGCTTAAGCACCTTGCTCAAGAACACACAGTGCCAGGCACTGTTCTAAATACTTCATAAGGCATTCACTCATTTATTCCTCTTAATAACTCTAAAAGTACCATTATTATTCCCATTTACTCATGGGGAAAATAAGGCACAGAGAGGTTAAGCACCTTGCTCAAGAACACACAGCCATTAAGTGGTAAAGCTGGAACTTGAAGTCAGGTAGTATAGCTCTAGCTAGAAGATGAACTTTTTTTTTTTTAGATTTTTTAAAATTGATTTTTTTCCCCAGAGAAGGGAGAGAGAGGGAGAGAAACATCAATTATCTGCCTCTTGCACGCCCCCTATCAGGGATCAAGCCTGCACCTCGGCATGTGCTCTGACCAGGAGTCAAATGGGCAGCCTTTTGGTGCACAGGACGGCACCCAACCACTGAGCATACTGGCTGGGCGAGAGGATGAGCTCTTCGCTGTGGTGCCAGCTGGCGCTTGGCAGACACTGCCCAGCTGTTGTGCTATACTGAACCGATTTAATTCCAGTCACAGCTCACGGTAGCTACCCCACATAATTTCTATCCTGTTTTGCAGCTAGAAAAACAGCAAAATAATGGGAACTTTCATAAGAGTGGAACTTTAACTCCCCTTTCCACCTGGATTTTCTATTTTCTGTTGATTCTCTGCTACCTACTCTCTTATTTTTGCCATTGACGCCATTCTGCTACCCAACGGGAAATCCCTGTTTTCCAGCTGGTATCACATGTGTGATTAGAAAGCCAGGGAAAGCAACCAGGTTGGCCTTGGCTAGGATTCTGGCAAAAAAAGGAGGAATATGTGTCATGGTGGGGGCCAGTGCTGTACATTCACCCCTGACAACAC